TTCAAGTAATTTTAATAATAGAGTATTAATATTTTACCAGACAAATGGATTTACAAATTTAGAATATTTTAAGTGCTTAGAAAAAGCCATTATTCTTTACAAACTGATTTTAATTAACAATTTTAATCATAATCATCAGTTATTGATGTATTTTACAGTTTTATATCCTTTCATGATAAGCAGTATTCCTTAACACATAATTTTAATTCATACTTTGTAACTATTTTTATAACAATCACAGTAATTATTAGTTAACATTTTCTGATCAAATATATTTACTGTATTTTACTTAGCAGTATCAAAGATAGAATATTATGCATTCCTTAAGAATAAGTCTGATACTAAGCAAACTATTTGCTTGCCTAATTCAAAAGTGTCTAATGCAATCTTTCCCAAATTAGTTCTTTCTAAAAGTACTATTGACCATGGTGGCCGGGAATGATGAGAGTTTTTCTTAAAGACATCTGAATGAAGCAGGTTGAAGAAGGCTGTTTTAGAGTAAGATATGTAAAAGTGAGCTAGAAAGAAAAAACTGATCGTTATATTCATCACATTAATGCATGCATATGCACACATATACACAACTGTTCGAAATAACATTTTAAAACTACAAATACATATATTTGTATACATTATTTTAAATAATTGTCAGAATTTATGAAATTGTTTAATAACAGAGTTAGATACTTAATATTCCTTGGCAAATAATCCTGCAGTGGAACATCTGACATTTCCTGTGCTTCATGTCTATATCCAAAATGCCAAGCTAACTTTCTGAATGAAAAATACTTGTATTGTGCTTTTGAACCATCTTCTCTTCTGGGAAAAAAATTAGCATTCCACTGTAAGTGGCATCTGATATTGTTTGTTTGTATAATTGGTCTGTTTCTTTTAATTCAGAAATGTGGCAATGCAACATCAAGAACCAAGTTGAAGAGCTGCAAATAATTTACCTATCCTAAATACTTTGTTTTGTATACAATCATAGTGTCTATGCTCTGAGTGGTGGACATTTGCTGCTCTTTCTGTGATACTTCCCATCTATTTATAGCTATAGACTTAAACATTTTTAGATAGCATTTCATGGAGCATTTTTTGTGATCATTATTAATGGTATTTCTAATTAAAACAAGTTAGTAACTGGCACTTTTTTTTTTTAATCCATTCAGTCGTGTCCAGTTCTCAGAGACTGCCTGGACAAGTCCCTGCAGTTTTCTTGGCCAGGTTTTTCAGAAGTGGTTTGCCATTGCCTCCTTCCTCAGGCTGAAAGAAAGTGACTGGCCCAAGGTCACCCAGCTAGCTTTGTGCCTAGGAGATAATAAAAAGGAAACAAAAAGACCAGAACACCTCATCAGCAATCAACACCCAGATAAGCAGGGATTAACACCTCCTCTCTGCAGTATTAATTACCTCCTGATTGAATTATTGCAATGTATTATACAAGGGGGTGCCCTTTAAGATCATCTAGAACTTCAACTGGTCCAGAATGCAGCAGTGCATGTAGTTATGGGCATTCCTCATTAGCGCCATATTACAGCTCTACTGCATGAGCTGCACTGGCTCCCATAGGCTTCCAGGTGCAATTCAACGTACTGCTTATCAGCTATAAAGCACTAAATGGCAGAGGACTGGGTTATTTGCGGGACTGCCTTCCTTTGGGGTTGGTAGTTGACATTTTGTGTCAAAGCTGCCCAAAGTCACTTTGCTTGAGTTGGGAATAATGGAATGTATGGTTGCAAGATATACATAAATGTCAAAAAGGAACTTATCAAAATTCTCCCTCCCATCTAACAAAGTGGATAGGCAGAAGCATGCTTTTACCCACAGCCATTTTCACATCATTCCTCACAACAGACGATATTGCAAACATTCTCACAACAGATCTTGTATTGCCCAATATTTTCGTACCAGCATTTTCTCATGTGAAACTCTCTCCTCTTTCCCTTTCTTAGTAAATTTTCTACCAAGGTGCACAAATTCATTGATTTGTCTACTGCTTGATTGTTTGTCTGGTGTTAATCTTGGTGTTAATCTCTGCTTTATATGG